TCTTGAAACTTAGATTATTCATCAGCATGTTGTGTCAATTGTATGGCAAACTGTTGTCCATCCATCCACAGAGTTCAGGGTCAGAAACTAATTATTGTTTTCACTAGTCAGCAGAAATGATCTGCTACAGAGTAACATCTACCAAACAGAAGAAGTGGCAATCCTCAAGGAACTTTTAATAGTCCTTCCTGATCTTCATGACCCCATGCCTGCCGTAAAAGCAGACTATGCTTGTCGTAAGAGGCGGCTAACGGGATCGGGTGGTCAGGCTCGCTGACTTGGTTGAAGCATGTCATCGATCCCAACTGCGTATATCGATGATGATGTTGTCGATCACTGGATTGTCTGGTCGAGACTCGATTATTTACAGACCGCCGTCATACAGCTGGAATATTGCCTAGTGCGGTGTTAAATAAATCCTGAACTTCACTGTCTTGGTCTAGCAGACTTATGTTAATTGCAAACCTGCGGATAATGTTTGAGGTCTGTTGTGCTTTCATCAGTATCTATAATATCCTTTAAGTTATTGTTTGAGATCAGGTGTACAGCAAATAGTCTTATAAACTGTTCCACTGACTGAGCATTATAGTTAAACCTGTGTGTGTGTGTGTGTGTGTGTGTGTGTGTGTGTGTGTGTGTGTGTGTGTGTGTCTGTGTGTGTCTGTGTGTTTGTGTGTGTCACCTGGTAACATGGCCCCAAGCACTGGACATGAGACATACTCTATCACCTGTACAGGGCTATCATCTTTGTGGAATGTCAGGGCATACAGACTGTATTGTGCTGGGAAATTAGGTGATTTTCTGCATACCTCTCTGTGAATGGAAGATGATATGTTTGGGAAACATTGTAGACGACTGACTGTCCTGACTGAAATGTCCTGGTAATCGTAGGTCTAGCGGCGTGGGCATGGATGTAATTGCTGTTTCACAGGGGTGGGTAGCATGTGGGTTAGGTCAACTATAGTATAACCTCCGTATACTCCGCTTAGTGATCATATGTCCCGACATGGTGATCAATTTCAAGGGGGACTATATCAATAGACTGTACCTTGTATGTGGAACTGGGAAGGTGAAAGGGGACAGTTTGTTCTAATTGGCATTGATAGGGGAACAATGTGGCTAATGTTCCAAAACTTTCTTTGAAGTCTTGCTTCCTTACACTGTCAGCTCAGATCTGCAAATCATTGCTTGGAAGACCTGAGTATTGTCCTAAATCTTTCAGCATCATTGTGTTGGTCCTCAAGGGGGGGGTGCTATGGTTATGCATTATGGTGTATTGCTGCAATGACAAATTGAACTACCGTATTCGATGTAATAAGCGCCCAGGGTGCTCTCCAAATTAGAAATAGGGGGCTCTTATTAGAATCTTATTTTGGTGGAAAAAGTTGAAAGATAAATTTCGTGGTTTATGCTGACAGCTTGAATGTTTATGTACGACAGATATATTTTTCCAGAATTAAATGCCCATAATTAAGGGTGCATATAACACACGAGTGCGTATTATACGCGAATAAATAAGTCTTGTGTACATTGATCAATCGGAAGGGGTGCCAATTGGGAATGTTCACTAGCCAATATCTTAGCAAATGTCGCCGTGGGCGCTTATTAGAGCGGGGCGCTTATTACGTTGAATACGGTATTTTTATTTTGGTAAATCACTGGATATAGAAATTCAAATTCAGAATAAGAGTTGGCAAGCTGTGAATTGTAACTATGGATATCAATGAAGTCAGGGGCATGCAACAACTTCCACTGAGACAAATGACAGACTATTGACATTGGAAGTTAAGTGTTATTGGCATTAACAACACTGCAAGGGTATAAATGTCATAATGCCCTGCCACTCTCTATATTTACCTATGCGTCCAGTCTGATGTTGGGACACAATATTATATCGCCTTACAATATGCTTGTACAGCAATTACAGTGCTAGTCAAAATGTCGGCTAAAGTTCACAGTTGAAAACCAGCATAATGTGTGAATTAGCCTTGTTTAAGACCCCCATCTGTGCTAATCCTGGTTAAGGGAGTATTGTTTGACAAAGGGTAAACAGTGATTATACAGGCTATGAACTTCAAGAATGTCATGTCCGTGTTAGTAACACAGACTACAGTGACAGTCAGCATGCTTACCACTGCTCTGTTTGCTCATATACAGACAACATATGCCACAACAGGTCTTGTTGTGGTGTTGTATGATAAACATTGAGCATCATCACACTTAACACTGCTTCCTTTGCTCAGATGAGCAACCAATGTCAGGCCATGTTTTGCTGTGGTGTTGGTGATTATGGACTTTCCAAATGTCGAGTATTTCTACATAAAGAAAGGTGCGGTCGGGTAGCCAAGTGGTTAAAATGTTTGCTTGTCACGCCAAAGACCTGGGTTCGATTCCCGACATGGGTACCATGTGTGAAGCCCCTTTTTGGTGTCCCCTGCCGTGATATTGCTGGAAAGGTATTTGGGGGCCAAGTATGACTTTAAGCTGTTGAGAGGGTGTCTTTACACGCTATCAATATTCAGGCCCAATCCAAGTTCCAAACTATAGAATACTGAAGGATATTTCCTCAAATTTGAAGTTAGTTGAACTTAGAGGGTCACTCTTGATCGGGTTAGACTTGTGAAGACCCGGGGTAGAATAGGTCTACAGCAACCCATTCATGCAGTAAAAGGCAACTATGTTGTAAGAGGCGAGTCCTGAGTCCTGTGAAGATTCTGGGTTACAGTTTGCCTTCAGCAAGCCATGCTTGTTGTATGATCGGATCGGGTGATCAGGCTTGCAGACTTGGTTGTTGCATGTCATCGTATTCCAATTGCGTGGATCGATGCTCATGATGTCAATCACTTGATTGTCTGGTCCAGGGTAGATTATTTACAGATCGTTGTCATATAGCTGGAATATTGCTGAGTGCGGCGTTAAACAATGAACAAACAACCTTGATCGGTTTACCATCAAAATGTACCGAGTTTTATCATTTTCTCAGAGCAATAATTACCTCCTCCTTTAAACGAGTGTATAAACGAACCCAGGAGTTGAACCAGACAGAAGGTGTTTTTTTGTCAAGGTATCAATTTAGCTGACTAATTGTGGAATTAGTTGCCCCTGCTAGGCATGGTTCCAAGTACATGATACGGCCCTGTAATCACTGGTGGGGAATACGCTGTATAACATATGCTTTCCTCCAGTGTTGCCAGAGATAAAAGGATGAGGTCTGACACACTCCATTATTTCTAGCTTGTGTTGGAGGTCACTCTGAGCAACCTATGGTAATAACAGAAGTATACACACGCCAAGATGCTGGAATGTGATTGGGTGAAGCCGCTGATGCCAGTTCTGCGTGTATGGCTAGATACATGGATTGTTAAATTGGTGCCTATTATCTTGTTTTCTGTATTTTGGAGGATGATATGTACACAGAGTAGGAGACATTCCAGCCTGAAGAGACCTCTCTTAAATATTGTTTGGTATGTTAGCTGGTAATAAAGAGAAGTGTCCACATTTTTGTGTCAGCACAGTGGTAATTCCTGTATATTGTGGCTGAACCTTCTGGTTGTTTGTTGTGTAACGCCCCACTCAGCAATATTCCAGCTATATGACCGCGGTCTGTAAATAATCTACCCTGGACCAGACAAGCCTGTCAACACATCTGGTTGTTTGTTGTTTAACGCCCCACTCAGCAATATTCCAGCTATATGACAGCGGTCTGTAAATAATCTACCCTGGACCAGACCAGACTGTCAACAACATCATGAGCATCGATCTACCCAAATAGGATACGATGGCATGCATCAACCAAGTCAGGGAGCCTGACCACCTGATCCTGTTATTCACCTCTTACTACAAGCATGGATTGCTGGAGACCAGTTGTAACATGTGCTTTTGGTTTGACGCACCCTGCTGATAGTCCGAAATGTTTGTTGACATTTTGATCTCATGACAGATACCGCATAAGTTTGAGTGACTCTCTTTTTGTGTTCAACGTAATCGGATACATAACATTATCTTTTGAGGCTTAAGCAGTATTGACAGATTCTTTCCTATCTGTTCAGTGAGTGGTGTACCCTGTCAAGGGATCCTTTTATAACAGAGATTCTAACTGTACTTGCCAGCACACCTGAGTCAGTTTTTCTAAAGTCACAGTTATCCTCAGGGCTAGAAGTTCAACTTTTAAGTTTGTTTGTTTGTTCTTCATCGCTGCACTCAGCAATATTTCAACTATATGATGGTGGTCTGTAAATAATCGAATCTGGACCAGACAATCCAGTGATTGATATCTTGAGGATTGATTTACACAATTTGGATACGATGACATGCATCAACCAAATCAGCGAGCATGACCAACAGATCCTGTTGGTCGCCTCTTATGACAAGCATAATAGCCTCTTACGACAAGCATGGGCTGCTGAAGGCAAATTTTAACCCAGAATCTTCATGGTACTCAGGTTTCAAGAGGGTGTTCTCTTATAGTATCACTGTTAATTTAATTTGCTTAATTTGCTTGCAGGATATCTCATTAAGGAGCCAGGATTATAATACCTCAAGGGCCCCAGAATGACAGATATTTGTTTTGCATTAGCAAGAACTAAGATATGATTTTAATGAGATTGCCCACCCCACATACACCACACTCTCACGAACACCACACTCCACACTCCTACCACCACCCACCCTCCCACCCACCCTCCCACCCACCACACACCATATAGCACCCACTCACCACACTCACCTTTACTTTTAGAAGTGTGGAGTATTTTCTTTTCCAATTCAGTCAGATATATTCAGACGTATATATTATATTGTTGTCCAAATGAAAATTATTGAAACAGTTTTTAAAAACTTACACGTCAATTTTATGAAGTTAACTCTATTATTGAAGAGGTAAATGTGCAGATCTGGATTTTTCACATACCTTCACCCAAAGTGAGTTGGAGGGCAAGTTCTATTTACAGTCGAGTTGACAGTAGTGACCCTGTGTGTGATTTATGGCCGTGTAACTGGACATGCGAGGAGAGCAGTCAACACTTAAGGTCAACAGGGAAACACTGAACAGGTGCACCAAGCTTATCCAGGCCCAGTCAAGAGCAGATAACTCATCCCTTCCTGATGTCTCTCAGGAAGATGAGTACTTGACTGTGCAGTGTACCAACCCTTACAAACATTGGTCAGTCGATAGCCTGAGTACTTGACTGTGCGGTGTACCAACCCTTACAAACATTGGTCAGTCAATAACCTGTGTACTTGACTGTGCGGTGTACCAACCCTCACAAACATTGGTCAGTAGATAACCTGTGTACTTGACTGTGCAGTGTACCAACCCTTACAAACATTGGTCAGTCCATAACCTGTGTACTTGACTGTGCGGTGTACCAACCCTTACAAACATTGGTCAGTCAATAACCTGAGTACTTGACTGTGCGGTGTACCAACCCTTACAAACATTGGTCAGTCAATAACCTGAGTACTTGACTGTGCAGTGTACCAACCCTTACAAACATTGATCAGTCGATAACCTGTGTACTTGACTGTGTAGTGTACCAACCCTTACAAACATTGGTCAGTCGATAACCTGAGTACTTGACTGTGCGGTGTACCAACCCTTACAAACATTGGTCAGTCAATAACCTGAGTACTTGACTGTGCGGTGTACCAACCCTTACAAACATTGGTTAGTCAATAACCTGAGTGCTTGACTGTGCAGTGTACCAACCCTTACAAACATTGATCAGTCGATAACCTGTGCACTTAGTGATTACTTCAGGAGTGAGAAGCAAGTTATTGCTTATGAAGTATTTTGAGATTAATAATCATTTTTCTATACAGAAACAGAACATAATTTTTAACTTAAGTTTAAAAAGTAGATAATGCTTTGATGGTTGACAGTCAAAGTTTTGAAATTCGAAACTTGATTTCTGAGTTCAGTCATGTTGTTTCTCAGATCATTTCAATGGTTTGCAGTTTGCAACTCTCATGTTTGCAAATAAGGCGTAGAAACTAACAGCTTTAGACCACTGGTCCTTGTAATGAGAACATGTAGCAAAAGTTACCCTTGAAAGTGGCAAATTTCTAGTCCTTATGAAACATTAACCTAATGGGTAGTTTGGCAAGGACTATAGGACAAGTGCCAATTTCTAATGCTGCAAATATTTTTCATGTGATACGCAGTACGTAACAGCTAATATAAATATCTTCCTTCCATTGTCATCAGTTGAGATCTGTATGCACTGAACAATACCTTGCTTATCATACGGTGTACCTCTTGTCTAGTGTGAGAGTCAGATCAAAGTGAAAGTGGCCTGGCTATTGTGTGCGGAATCCGGCATTATCTGACAGCACAGTGAGAGACATGTCAGGGGCTTTCAGGCTGTCGGTGTAAGACAGGAACTTCCTGACCTTCACTCAGGGCTTGAATAGCACAGGCTACAGGTGCGGTACAGAGTGGGAGGGTGGTGATAAGTCTGTCATACAGACCCTGAAACAAATGTCTCCAATACAGCCCGGGCAAGTCTATGTGTTTGGCAAGTTTAGATTACTGCAGTATCTGAAAATGAAGAAAGTCTCTGGGCTCCTTTTTATTTTATTTTATAACTATAATTTAGCAACTGTTTTTTCTGTAAAATATGTTCATTTCAGAGATAGATGTTAGTCTAAGTGTTGACTTGCACAAGTCTCTAAGGCAATAATTATTAGTTTAAATCATAAGTTCTAGATTATGTAAGTATTAAAAACAGGTTGTCCCTATAAGAGACTGGAGTCCTTCCTGTCAACATATCTAGACTTGCCTATTTGGAGGATAGAATTACCACACATCCATTGACTTTTCTTTCAGTACAGCCTTAGGGCAATTCTAGGTCTAGGCCTAAAGCATGTAAGGTATATGAGTGTGGTGACTATTGGTGTGGGATATTGGGTGGGATGTAATAGTGTGAGGTGTTTGTGTGTTTTCCCATCAGACGACAGGGAGACTGTCAGCAGGTATATAATGTCAGTGTGTTAGATATTGGTGTGTGATATGGGGTGGGATTGTTACAGTGTGAGGTGTTTGAGTGTTGAGTGAAGACTGTGACTCAGTCACCAGGTTTATTGGCTAATTTAGCACTGTCAGCAAGGGGTTGTGGTACTGCATGTGTTCCCCAGTATTGAACTATCCTGTAGTGTGTCCTGAAATTGCCTCCTTGTACACCCACACCAGCTACTGGTCACTGGATAATCACTCCCTCCTCACCTCACCATCACCCCCTTCTTACCTCACCCTTACCCCCTCCTCTTGTCACCTCGCTGTAACCCCCTGTTACCTCACCGTCTCCCCCTCGTCACCTCGCTGTCATCCCCTCGTCACCTAACGTCTCCCCCTCGTCACCTCGCTGTCACCCCCTCGTCACCTCACGTCTCCCCCTCGTCACCTCGCTGTAACCCTCTTGTCATCTCACCATCTTCCCCTCGTCACCTCACCGTCTCCCCCTCGTCACCTCGCTGTCACCCGTCTTAGTTCCCTTGTTCCACACACAGCTGGCCGTTACTGACTCATCACCTCACCATCTTCCCCTCGTCACCTCGCTGTAACCCCCTTGTCACCTCACCGTCTCCCCCTCGTCACCTCGCTGTAACCCCCTTGTCACCTCACTGTCTCCCCCTCGTCACCTCGCTGTCACCCGTCTTAGTTCCCTTGTTCCACACACAGCTGGCCGTTACTGACTCATCACCTCACCATCTTCCCCTCGTCACCTCGCTGTAACCCTCTTGTCACCTCACCATCTTCCCCTTGTCACCTCGCTGTCACCCCCTCGTCACCTCACGTCTCCCCCTCGTCACCTCGCTGTCACCCCCTCGTCACCTCACGTCTCCCCCTCACCTCGCTGTCACCCCCTCGTCACCCCATGTCTCCCCCTCGTCACCTCACGTCTCCCCCTCGTCACCTCACGTCTCCCCCTCGTCACCTCACGTCTCCCCCTCGTCACCTCACGTCTCCCCCTCGTCACCTCACGTCTCCCCCTCATCACCCCATGTCTCCCCCTCGTCACCTCACTGTCACCCCTGTTAACTCGGTGGGCCCCACACAGAGCTGGCATGTTGTGGCTGTAATTAGCAGCTCCACAACACAATGGTGTGAGACATGTGACCCCTGGTGACAGTATCATATTTCCATACATGTGGGACATTAATAGCCCAACATGCCTGGTTTCCGGCCACCACTGTACAAGCATACAATTAACAAGTGCTGCTACACTCACACAGCTCTCAATGTGCTCAGTGACTTAGGCTCTATAGCCAAGGAAGGATTTTGGACACATTTGGTGGCATAGCCTTGCTTCTTTATATTGATGCTAATATTGTCCTCTGAGATTAAAGATTCTGTGACATTAAAGTACTACATTATGATGAGGGACCAGTGTGCAGGTATCTTCCCTGTACCTTGTGGGGATTAATTCTCGCTGATCAGTTGATTCACACCTCAGCATTAGAAATTGGTACTAGTCCTGTAGTCCTTGCCCAACTGCCCAACAGTTAAGGTATCATAAGGACTAGCAGAAACTTGCCATTTTAAAGGGTTTTGCTATATGTTATCATCATAAGGACAAGTGGACTAAAAATGTTAGTTTCTACCACTGCACCATGAAGTCTTTTCCTGGACAAGTCTCTTACTTACTCAAGTAATAGTCCTTCCCTTCAATAGTACTATGAAATGAGGGGTGGTCGGGTGGCCTAGTGGTTTAAGCGTTCGCTCGTCAAACCGAAGACCAGGGTTCTATTCCCGACATGGGTACAATGTGTGAAGCCCATTTCTGGTGTCCCCTGCCATGATATTGCTTGAATATCGCTAAAAACAGTGTTAAACCATACTCACCCACTCACTCACTCACTCACTCACTCACTCACTCACTCACTCACTCACTCACTCACTCACTCTATGAAATGGTTAGCAATATCACATAGACCTGTCATGATGATGTGTGTCATGGTTCCTTCATGAAGATTCCGGGGTAGAATAGGTCTTCAGCAACACATACTTGCCGTAAAAGGCGACTATGCTTGTCGTAAAAGGCGACTAACGGGATCAGGTGGTCAGGCTCGCTGACTTGGTTGATGCATGTCATCGATCTCAATTGCGTGGATCGATGCTCATGATATCAATCACTTGATTGTCTGGTCCAGACTTGATTATTTACAGACTGCCGTCATATAGCTGGAATATTGCTGAGTGCGGCGTAAAGCAACAAACCAACCAACCAACCTTGATTAAGACTGCCAGCAGTATTGGAAGTGTCAGCCCCAACTGATAGGTAACACTGTAGTCCTCTGAACCATCATGTTGTCCTGCTGCAGAGTCCGGAGGCGTGGCCGCAGCATGGCATAGGAGTGACTGAGATGTGTTTAAACAACAGCTCTCTCTGAGGCATGATGTGATGACCTTCACCTTGGAGCAGGAGAAGGTGCCCACAGCATCACTCGTGTTTTGGCTTGTAAGGAAAGGAATTAGAAATAATGAGCATTCAGAATTATGAGGCCTAGGAACACTGATCGTGGATATATTAATTTTTGTAAGTGTAACAGTTCTCAAACTTGGGATGCATTGCATTTAGCCATGACTTGGTGATAGTGTTTGAAATAATTTTATGACCGAACAAGACAGTAAGGCAGGTGACCCATAAGTGTTGCCTGCCCATCTTCAAAGTTACCCGCCCGCATTCAGACATTATCAATATTGAAAAATCGCAAAACGTAAGAGACAAATAGGGCCGTGATGCAAATGCAAACAATTACTTGAGATTCTACAAGGAGTTATGATAAAACTGAATACATAACATAAGTAGTCCAAAAATTATCTACCAGACAGTCGGCAGGTTAAGGGAAATTTTGTGCAGCCCGACAGAAAAGTTACCAGCCACAGGCAGGCGGGCAGGCAGTTATTTCAGACACTGCCTGGTTACGAGTTAAAATTTCAGTAATTGCAACACCTGCCCGACTCTCTTGTTGGGTTTGAACATTATTTTAAACCCTGAGGATGAACCCGGGTTGCTGAAGGTCACTTTGTTTCCAAATATAAATGTCGTCCCAGCATGCAGTTTCCTCGTGCTGAGACCGTGGACACACGGTGACCAGACCACCTTCAGAACTTGTTACCCTGATCACATGCTTGCTGGGATATGCATGGTCATCAAACCATAGGTCAGGCTGCTGATGTGAGTTTGAATCCAAGAATCACTCTTCATCATCATTGGTGCGTTTATGCCATACCTGTGATCATTGACTTCACCAAACTACTATATCACTCAGGACTTTCCTACCACATGAAGCTGCCATGCCAGTGTTAGAAACTAACAGTGTTAGTCCCCTAGTTCTTATAATGATAACATATAGCAACATCCTTATAAAAGGCCAATTTCTACTAGTCCTTATGGTACCTCAACTGTTGTAAAGTTTGGCAAGGACTACAGGAATACAAGACTAGTGCCAATTTCTAATACTGTATGCTGTGATATGACTGGAACACAGGTCAAAGCTGCATTAAACCAAACTCACTCACCGACTCACTCGCCGACTTACTTGTTTCAAATTGATCCATATTTTACTAAGATAATATTCAAAAAAGATAATTATAAATGGAAAAGAAATCAAATTGTTGCCTAAAAGAAATAAAAGTTTAAGCACTGGAAAAATATCATCTAAAATGATATCTTTGAAACGTCTAAATTTGTCAAAAAAGCGTTTGTCATGTCAATGTACATTCAGTACAGATGAGACAAAATATTGTCCATTTGATATGATTGTGTCCATGGAGCTATGTATCAGTGAGCGAATCATACAGCTTGTCAATCAGGGTCCCAGGTGGATCTGACTGACTGACTCCACAGCCTGGGGTGGTCCCCCTCAGAACAATAGCATTACCCTCACTCCACAACACACTCCTCTCTTCATCCCCCTCATCACAGCCCAGAATTACACAGGAATGTTCTGTGTTAGTTTTTCATCTTCGTTTGTTTACAAATGAACTCTTGAGATTAGAACGTTAAACTGGTGGGTTGTTGTCGCTGGACCGGTATTTCTGCTGCGAGCCACTGTCGGGGCGCACGTAAGTTGTTTACTCCCTGATCGCTGACGGAGACGATGTACAGGGTTGTCACTGCATGTCCTGTTAAGATGCAGTGATGTGTTCATCACATACCAGGCCAGGAAATTGTGTCACTACGTTGTTGTGGCAGTGTTGCTCGCAGTAGTCAAATTGTCGTTGTCGATGTTGTAGTGTTGCTGAGGATGTTGGAGCAACAATGCTGATGTTGATGTGTTTGGATTATTATACTGGATATTACCAGGCAAGACTTGTCAGGTCGGTGTTATAGTGTTATCTGTCGTAGCAAGTCAATTGTCTCATCATAATGTTTTCAGATATGGTAATCTGATACTGCCAGCTGTGTGGGATTTTTCCATCTATTGTATTACTGTATTTTGTACATGCTGACAAACATCTGGCTTAGGAACATGTGTTGCTGCAGGAATTGCAAATACCTAGGACTGCTATGCATTGTCTAAATATACCCACACGTCTTGTATACTGCAAATCTCAAGGCCATGTTGTTATATACGCTGCGGAATTTGAAGCATTTGCTTAGCTAGGTGTATAATTAAAGGTGTGTATAAGGTAGGGGTAGTATAAGCACCATATCAAACAGCTGTCAGTGTCACGCTTGATTGAACTGTGTCATGTGTCCCGAAGAGCGAGGAGCTTCGTGGGTTGTATGCTGGGACATTGATGTATGAGAACTCACTGCGTCCTTTTGTCTTACAATAATCTACTAGCACTGAAGCTACATACATTCCTGTGTTGGAAAGTTGTCTTTGCACTTGAAGCTGATCCAAGCAGCCATTCAGGGGACTTGCTGTGTGAGTTGTTAACCAGTGTCGGTGTAATAACCCAGTTATACCACTGATCAAAGTAAATACCTTCTCCTGGGGATTATTTGCTGTTAACACATAGGTGAGTGACGTCCTTAATTGACCATCCATCAAGATGTAATGTATGTGTGTGTCAGCATTGAAAGTGGCCTGAGTTGGACTATCCTGGGGATATCTACGCCAGCAGGATTAAGGAAGGGAACCGCTACAGGTCAAGATCTATTTGGGGGTAAACACGATATTTCTGTCACTGACTCAGTTTTTCTGTGTTTTTAAGACATATGAACGATATGTTGTGACATGAGTTTTGAGATCGTGACTCTCAGAAATCAGGATTTCATAGAGGTTCTGTCTGAAGGCACATGACTTAACAACCATTTCATATTAAGATATGCTATTCAACATGCAGTTGTAAGAATGTCTATATATGTATCTGTTATGGTAAACATCCTAGGTCGTCTCTATAAGAGATCTGCACTCAGTTGGGTATTTCGGGAAAGCTTCAGGGTGATGTCAGCACTTACTGCTCAGATGACCTCTGAATATTGCTCAATGTCTTGACAGCCTAGGTAATAAGATGTATATCGCCATGGGACATAATAAATCAGAAATAGAGAGTCATTTGTTTGGGGTTTTCTATATCAGGGGTGAATGATTGTCTGGCAGTGTGAAGCAACGTAAGTTAGGTACCAGTATATATATATCTATATACAGGTATATTGTCAACATTGGATAGTCTCTCTCTATACCTTGTCAAATGGGCTGTACATGCAGGTACATAGTCGACACTGGATAGTCTCTCTCTACACATTGTCAAATGGGCTGTACATGCAGGTACATAGTCAACACTGGATAGTCTCTCTCTATACCTTGTCAAATGGGCTGTACATGCAGGTACATAGTCAACACTGGATAGTCTCTCTCTATACATTGTCAAATGGGCTGTACATGCAGGTACATAGTCAACATTGGATAGTCTCTCTCTACACATTGTCAAATGGGCTGTACATGCAGGTATATTGTCAACACTGGATAGTCTCTCTCTATACATTGTCAAATGGGCTGTACATGCAGGTACATAGTCGACATTGGATAGTCTCTCTCTACACATTGTCAAATGGGCTGTACATGCAGGTACATAGTCGACATTGGATAGTCTCTCTCTACACATTGTCAAATGGGCTGTACATGCAGGTACATAGTCAACATTGGATAGTCTCTCTCTACACATTGTCAA